TGGCAAAAAAAAACCGAGCACTGCCGAAACGGCACTTAGCCTTTACTGTAATTTGCCATTCTTTAAATAAATCTCTCCAATCATGTAACAATTTTCTAGAAACTGTTTCAGTCAAGCTCTGAAGAAGCCAACAGGATGAGTCGAAGTTTCTTTGAAAAATTATAGTCTGGCTTTATCAAAGTAGCTCCGATAGTTTGTTTTTGACTGGCTATTTTGTAGTCGATCTAGCGGGTCGCGGATCGATGGATTCCCTGTAATAATCAATCCAGTGATAAGATTATTATATAGATCTTTTAATATGGCCGAGAAGTCTAACCCCATGTCGCCTCGCTCGCCATCAGAACCCGCCACTCCGGGTTTCTATTTCTATTTTATTATTTTTATTATATTATTATATCGATTATTTCTTACGATCTCCGACATCTCCGACAACAAATTTATTTTTTTGCGTTTTGAATGATTATGTAAAATAATAATAATAATAATAATAATAATAATAATAATAATAATAATACATTTATTGTTATAACCATCAAATTTACATAGAAATAATTACATAACCAAAGTTAAATAAGTGAAATAATGGTCAACAATAGGCCTTGTTAGGGCAGCCATCTAGAAGTTCTAGATACTGTTCAGGCTTCAATTTAACAGCGAAAATATAATAATAAAAAATTTCATAGAATTTATTTGAAAGCGCCAAGCGTAGATACACATAATTCTAAAGAAAAGAAAAGAGAAGAAATGGAGGGGGAAGGAAAGGAAAGGGGCACATGTTTTGTAGAAGAGCTTAATATTAGTGCGTACGTAACAACTGCTTTTTGAAATTGTTCCTAAATATTGAATTGGACTGATTAATATTAAAATTAGTAATATGATCTTTTAAATAATAGTAAAATTAGTAATATGATCTTTTAAATAATTCTTTGCGGTGACGGGGTATAACGAGTCGGTGTCTACCACGCAGATTCAAATTGTGTACTGATATGTTAAGAGTAATTTTTCTGTAAATATAAAAAGGTAATTTTGTTTTAAGGATGTTGAAATAAAAGGAACTCATTCGTAATTTGCATCGAAGGTGCATATTAAGCCAACCCGACGCAGCAAGGTACGGGGAGATATGATTTCTCCTCCTTACCCCATAAATTAGCCTTAGACAGGAGTTTTGAACCTTCTGGGCACGGTAACGATCGGACGCATCCAGGCACGGTCCGTACACAGCACTGCAGTGATTAAATTGTGACAGAACAAGTAATTCACACAGCAACTTACGAATTCCCTGACAAAGTACATGTCTATTGCCATAAATTAATTTTAAATTAGCATAGGCAACCCTTAGTTTATTAGTAATACGTTCTCTGAAACGCAACTGCGAATCAAGAGTGAGACCCAAGCTTTTGCATGACTCAGAGAGTGGCAATTTTATGTTATTAAGTTTAATTGTTATGTTATACTTTGCATGGGTTACATGATTATCATTTCCAAAGAGTATTACTGAAGATTTATTAGGGTTAAGCTTTAGGAGGTGATCTGTTGCAATGTTAAAAAAATTTGATAAATCAGTATCGATGACATCCTCCGCGGTAGCTATTTCTTGAGGAAAAAATGAGTAGTAAATTTGAGTGTCATCCGCATAAAAATGACAGTTGCATTGGTGGAGGGCTCCAATGAAGTTAAAAGTAAAAATAGTGTACAACAAGGGACCAAGAATGCTGCCCTGTGGAACACCCATGCGAACACCCGGGAACGATGACTGCTGCTGATTGTAGACAACCCGTTGTGTCCGACCTGACAAAGAGGAACACAGAAACTTTCGAGCACCTTCGGAGAAACCAACGTAATGGAGAATGGCCAAGAGAATTGAATGATTTATCATATCAAATGCCTTACTGAAATCCAACAATATTAAAGCCGTTATCTTTCCATCGTCAGTCGCTCTAAAAATGTCATCAGTAATGTCCAGCATGGCACTCTCACAACTGTGATTACGTCTAAAACCAGACTGTTTCTCTGGTAGAATATGATTAGAACATGCAATATGCTAATTGACCGCAGGTGACTAAATTCGCTGGGATTGTTTATTTTCGGTAAGGGGATGACTTGTGCCCGCTTCCATGTTGACGGAAAGTACGAATTTAAGATACACTCATTTATTATATGCGTAATGTATGGGGCAATATATGGACAGCAAAGAAGTATTAATGATTTATTTATATCATCATGGCCCGCAGCTTTAGATTTTATATTTTTCAGAATGTTGAGAATCTCATCTTCCGTGGACAATACAAAGTCAAAGTGATCCGTTCTGTCATTTAACCTATTATTATAATAAAAATTCAGCAGTTCTTGATTGGGGCTATCATTATTTTCCACACTGTTTATAAAAAAAATATTAATTTGATCGACATTATCTAAGTGACTTGGTAAAGTACCCCTGTTACATTTTACAACATTAAGTTTCCTTAGTTCGTTCCATTTCTCTTTGGCATTACCATGACAAAACTTAGTTCTTAAATAAGCTTTTTTCTCTGATCTAATGGCCGAATTTGTATAATTACGTAATTGTTTGTAATGCTCGTAATGTGCTGGAAGTTTAGTCAGTTTAAATTTTTTTAGCGCTTTATTTCTCAGCTTTTGTAGCAGTTTTATGTTTTCTGTTATCCAAGGCGCATAGTTATAGTTTTTATTCTTCCTAAAGCGTTTTAACGGCGCGTGCTTATTAAATAGTTCCAATATGCAAGTATTTAAGAGGTTTAGCTTTTCTTCAATGTCACAAAAATAAAGTAAGTTATTTAAACGGTAAATCTAGTAGATCCCTCTTAAACTCCTGAAGATGAGTGGTTTTTAATGATCTATAATAAAAACTTACAGGTTCATTATCTGGCAAGTCTAGACTGAATTTTATGTATGTCAAAAAGTGAACAGCGATGTTATTGTCGACAACCCCTACATCAGACACGTTTTTTACGTTGGTAAATATTAAATCTAAGAGCGACATAGAATGTAATGCAATGCGGGTAGGTTCTTGTATATATTGGTCCATATTGTAAGTAGAAAACACAGAAGTTAATCTATTTCCAAGATCAGTATTTAAATTAAGCATATTGATATTGAAGTCACCAAAGCATATTAAGTTATTATAGTCCGAGTATATATTAAACAAGGATTCCTCAAGGGTATTAAAAAATTGTGATACGTTAGTATTAGGTGGCCTGTAAAGAGTACCCACCATAAAGGTTCGATTATTTAACAGTACTTTAACCCATATGTATTCAATATGCTCAAGACAAGCAGAGGCCAAAACTTCACACCTTAAATTAATTTTAACGTACACTCCCACACAGCCTCCGCGCCTGTCCAGACGATTGTGATGCAGAAAATTATAATTCGGAATGCCTACCATCTGATCAACCCCCGCACCCAGCCACGTTTCAGATACACCAACGATATCATAATTGGCTTAGAAAAGAGTCAAAATTGGCCAGCAAGGACCTTACATTAACATGTGCGGCACATAAATTAAGATGCATTGAGAACTAAAGGAGGGAAGGTTAGCAAGGAAGGAAATAGTTATCAAATTCAAACGAGCAGTGGAAAGTACGAGGGTACCAAAACCAATAAAGTTGGTGCTGCATGTAACCTAAAGTTAATTTTTAGTTCGTGTATTATACAGAAACATATAAATACTGAAAAAAGCCTGTATCGTACATGTGGCATATGTGACATACCTAAATTACAAGATATAAAAACTATTCTTCGAAAAGTATATTATAATTGACTAATCTCATGGTGCTAAAATTTTTACTAACAAGCTGAGAAATGTGAGGTTAACATTGCTTATCACTAAGATTAATAACGAAGAGAAAAAAAAAAGCAAGCTGTTATAATTTAATTCACAATTAATTTCTGTAAAGTTTTATTGTTTTTTAAAAAAAATTCCTATGGTGTTTTTAGTTTTAAAAACAATATTAAGACCAAATTTAGATAGATTTTTCGAAATTTTCTTGCTAAGTTATCCTATGTATTTTTTTGTTTTATAAATTTTGTGTTCGATGTTTAATATGGGATAGATTTGACAGTTATTTGAAACTGCTTTATGGTAATAATCTTATTTATCAAAAAGGGGCCGTAACCACGGTTAAAAGCTATTTGTTTAGTAATATTTAATTCTTTTTCAAAATTTTCTGTGGAAAGTGTGATTTTACGTAGTGTGTGGATAAAAGCATAAAAGGCAGCCATTTTGTGTGTGTAAGGGTGATTTGAGTTATTATTTATTATTGTATCCCTATGTGAGGGCATATGGTAAATGGAAAAAATTTGTTCTATAGTTTAGTTATATGTCCAGAAAGTTGAGAGTGTGACCTAGTTCCTATGGTAAATTTTATACGATTATATATGGAGTTAATATGATTCAAAAAAGGACTGCAGCTGTCTGAATTCCATACGTAACCGTATAAAATTTACCATAGAGATGGAACTAGATAACCGCGTCAAATAGTCTTTACTATTTTTTTTTAATTAAGTTATTGTTAATGTTAATGTAAATTTGTACCTAAACTTTTTACGTAGTTATCGTATTTTAACTTAAAAATTATTTTCAAAAAATAAGAAAATTAATGAATTAATGAAAAATTTGATATTAAAGAGTTTCTTTTAACTTGATTGTATGGTTCTCTTTTTTAAAGTCATAATAATAAATGTTGTTATATATATTCCGGCAGAGGATCACTGCAATTTTACCCTTGCTTTTCATTTTATTACTGCGTAGAATGCAAGAATAATATATATCTAAGTTTACCTTAATTTATGCATACACATATTTCAGAGGCTTTATTATTTACAATGAGCGAATGAGCTTCTGCCGCTGCGCCACTTAAAATGTTGACGTTGTCAAACTAACCTAAAAAAATCATTTTAGTATTCGCAAAGTGGAAAAAATATACGGCGCTTTGGTCACTTAACAACGTAGGTGATAAAAACTTTTTCATATTTTTACAATCCTTTATTCTTCCTTATGAGTTTATAAACATTTATTTTTACACAATCACGCTATTTACAACATCATATAAAGCACAGTATAAATTAGAATACAATTGAAAATCACACGCGGTGTATTAAACATATTTGCTAAGATATAGTTTCCGATTGTTTCTTAATGTTAGGGAATGCATCACTTTATCAGTTTAAAGTATAGTCTAACCTATGTAGGTAAGTATTTTTCTTATTAGCGAGTGTCTATTGCAGCTAAAAATATTTAAAAAAAAAAACCTTTTTAATAACATTTTCAATTTGGTTCCCTACATCATGAACTCGTTTTTATTTAAAGTCTATATAGATTAGAAAACAATTATATAGATTCAGTCGATAAAAATTTTTTCATCAGGCAATTCTGTCGCCGGCATTAACACTCATAAATATTATATTTTTCTTATATACCTCTAAAAGCTAACAACAAGGGTACATTGAGAAAAATACGTTGATGATTCGGAAAATTATATCAAAGAATATCCAGTTTTATAGAATGCTGATTGTCAAAAATTAAAAAAACTAAGCATTTCAATTCTAACTTAAATATAGCAATCTTAATCAATAATAATTACTTATATACAAGAGCCACTTAAAAGACCCTGTTACATAGTTCCGGATAGATAAAATTGAAAATGTCTAGTCGCGATGGATCGACGATACTATGCGATTTGACGAGAATTTATAGTTCAATGATATATCTATCTTTCTATGTACAGGTAAGCCAGTGTCTAATAATATCTTATGTAAAAGGAACGAAGATTCTTCAACATATTTCTAAAGAGCGAAAAGTCGTTGATGATATATTAGTGAACTGTAGCAGCTCCAATTTATTTTCAAGTTCCATGTTTTCTCCTAAATGACACCACAAGTTCAGAGGGTGCTGTATATAGCAGATGGAACCCAAAATTACGAAATTGACAAATTTATTACACAGGGTAGCTCACTACTGCGGGACTCTTTTACATCTGACTTAGAGTTTATTTTGTGGAAACATTTTAAACGCAAAAGTTGTTTCCATGGGTAGGTTGCATGCAATGAAAATAGTTCCTATTCTGCAGGGTACCTCATAAGATTCTCACAGCATGCTTCATTTTAAATGGTTAGAACGCCTTGTATATTAATAAATTTTTTGATTTCTGAGAAAATTTCATTGTAAGTTTCCATTCGCTATACTTAATCTTAATAGTACCTTAAATATCTTGATTAATTTAAACATTTTGAAAGATATAACATTATCATAATCGTTCTCAGGTTCTCTGGCATTGAAAACTGATTTTTTGCTTACATGGGGTTTATCAATAACTAACAAACCAATTACATTATTTTCAAATTTCCAACAGTTTTCTTGCTATTTCATAATTTTTATCAAGTCAATCAAACCACAAAGTTCTTTCTAGAGTTAGCGTAAATTTTGACCAAGTTTGACAGGTTCCTGGTTTTATTTACTTTATTTACTATTATTATTTACTCCAAAAGAGTTAAGGAACAATTGGCCACTCAGATTACAGGATTTGTAGCGTTTGGATTTCAACTTCCTGGATGTATAAAAGAACTAGTGGACTTTTTCTAGGCGTGCACAAAATAGATGTCCATCATAGGTTCATTATTAATATACTAATACTATAATACAAAATTGTTTAGTATTTCTTGTTTCTCTTGTTATATCATTTTTGATTTTATTTTGATTTTCGGTGCTAATTAAACTGCATTGGTTGCCCTTTGCCATATTCACTTCATTTCTTAAGGAATCATCAAATTAAAAAAAAAAATAGAATAACAAAACACGATTAAAAATCTGTATCTGTTTTATTTTGCATCGGATCATAAATAATATACAGGGTGTCTTAATTAGACAAATGAGAAAATAACCTTAAAAATACCTTAATCTGATCAAGACGAAGATACAAACGGGGTGAAAATCCAAAGACCTCAAATCAGGTGTTCTAAGTGAACTAATTTGACGTAAATAAAATCAAAAGAAAAAAAATAACTTTGCCAAACGTGCCAGTGCTGACATGATACCTCATCTTCACAGATAAAAAATTGCAAGATGCAAGCTTTCTTTTGATTTTTAAATGCCATATTTATTTCATTTCTTAAACAAACATCAAATTAAAATAAAAAATATAAAATAACAGAAACCCATTAAAAATCTGTATCTGTATTTTGCATCGGATCGTAAATAATATACAGGGTGTATTAATTAGAAAAATGAAAAAACAACTTTAAAAATACCTTAATCTGATCAAGACGAAGACTCCAAACGAGGTGAAAATCCAAAGACCTCAAATCAGGTGATCTAGGTGAACTAATTTGACGTAAATAAAATCAAAAGAAAAAAAATAACTTTCCCAAACGTGCAAGTGCTGACATGATAGCTCATCTTCACAGATAAAAAAGTGCAAGATGCAAGCTTTCTTTTGATTTTTTAATGGCATTAAATGAATAATTATTCAAAATTTTAAATATTTCCATTTTTTTTAGTTTTTAATTTAGCGCGCTACTACAATTATGTTTCGATTTTTCAAAATTTTATCACGCCAAGCCCAAAAGGTTCGCCATCATTGCCAAGTCAATCGATGCAGAATTAAATTTTGCATCTTCGAAAATTATGTAATTCATGTTCATGTGTTTTGGTTAATGGTTAAAAAGTGCATAGTTCAAAATTATGTTATCTATATATTTCAAAATTTTCAAATTATTTAAGATGTCTAAAGATCTATTGGGATTAAATACAGGAAAGTCTTAAGGGACGTAACATGAAATGTTCCTAAAAATCTAAAAATTAAATAACAAACAGGGTGTTCTATTTAACATAGGGAAGTAAGGGACTGTGATGTACTTATGAGATACCCTGTATAATGGCAACCGTTTTCGTCACATGTAGTACATTCAAACCAACAATCTTTGTTTTAAAAAGTTAAAAAGAACCCCGAAAAGTTGAGCAACCCTGTATATCGAATATTTTTTATTTGAAAAAATTACGTGAAATCGCCGAACATCTTTAGGAAGTATAATATTGTCTCTTAATTCAATATAATGGACTGAAATGACATAATTTTATAGAAATGTAGTGGGAAATATTTTTCGAAAATGCCATTGCGACAATTCCGTCTTTGACGACAGTTAAGAGAAGGACAGTTGTTTCTCAGCCAGTTCAACAGCGTAGAATGAAATTATCGACTACCTAGTAATTTTTTTTGTTTCCGGGAAAATAACTAAGATAGCTTTCTAGCACAGTGTTGCGAAACACGTAAAACATCCCACTTAATTTGATTTAATTCGGCCTTAAAATAAACGCAAAAAAGATGCACATCGGTTAGAGATAAAGTCCAGTCAGAGCATGACATGATTAGCTACTTTGTTGTAAATTCATAGGAATTTTGTTTGTCAGTTTTAAAATCATTATTTATGGTTATGGTAGCAATATAGCTAAGACATACGGGTCATTTTTGTTTACGTCACTATACGTGACGTAACTGCATAGCTGCTCTTATGACAGTATACGCGAAAAATATTTCCCAATAGAAAATGTTTCCTACTTACATGGCCGTTATTGTTTTTGATGTGCAAATCAGATGCGATCGGTGTCTAGCTAATAACGCTAATTGCTAATTATTGCACCAAATATTTCATTAGCGAAACAACTAAAAGTCCGAAAAGGGATGGTAAAAATGCGGGTGCTGCGCTGACGCGGATGTCACCCTTTCGCAGGAAAGGCGCGTCGATGACGTGGATAATGCCGTTCGTACACTCCACGTTGGGTCTGAACACTGGGATCTTCATATCGTTCCAGTGGATCACGAAACCTAGAAGGAAAGTCGGTTCCGTTATTAATACGTAATTGACTATAAATATTTAAGTGTAAGATGAACTTCACATCATAGGCTATATTAAATTTTCATATATACCGGGTATCCCAATAAGGGCAATAAAGGAAAATTATTAAGTACATTGGCCAAAAGAAATTGCCAATTTTTTTCGATGTTTCGGAAATCGCCATTAGGGGGCGCATTTGTTATTTTGAATTCACATATTTTTTGTTTAATGCCGTTTGCAACGAAAATGGTGGGGGTGATCGATCATTTTCTTAAATAAACGTCCATATCTCCAAAAAGGCTAGACGCATTTTAATACACTTTACACTTTGAGTTGTTGAAAAGTGAATTATCTTAGTCTATCCGCTAGGAGCATCTGCGATTGCGGTTGATTACTTCGCAAGCAAGTGGGGTTTTCCGACATAATCTCGGAAAAAAATTTTCTAGAAAAACAATATATATATATATATATATATATATATATATATATATATATATATATATATATATATATATATATATATATATACATATATATATATATATACATATATATATATATATATATATACATATATATATATATATATATATATATATATATATATATATATATATATATATATATATATATATATATATATATATATATATATATCAAATAAGGATCCAACATCCCAGTGATTTCCGTGTCTCAATATTTTCGTCCTAACGTAAAATATAAATAAAATAAAAGGTAAATTTTTCATTTAGAATAAGATGCGATCAATATAAAATGTTAGGAATGACGCCTTAGGAAAAATGAAAAACACTTACTGTTTGAATGCACATGTTACTAGCTAAATAATTCCATAATCGATTGATTAGTTTTGGCTAGTTGAAAGATGTCAAAAAGTAGAAATGTGACGGGGCAATTTGGTACCCACCCTTCGAAGGTATTGATTTGAAATATCATTTCGCATCCCAAATAATAAATTGGTGTTTTATTTGGCTAATTCAGGATACTTAGGCATTACTAATAACCGGTAATCTGGAGATTTCCCCCAAAAATCCAATTCTTGTTGAGCTGTAAGTGTTTCATTTTTTAGGTTAGGATAAGGATATTGAGATGCGGTTTTGACTGGATTTTTGGTCCTCTACCTGACTGTCTATAATGATATAAAAAGTCATATCATTGCATTTATCGTTTTTAATAAAATATTTTTTTTGCGATTGTCTTAAAAAGTCACCTGATGGCAAGGTTCGCATTCGCACTTCAACTATGCATAACATTCGAAATTTGTGCAGAAACCGAGTTTTAAATTTTAAAATAACAATTGCGCTCCCTGGTCACCGATTTGATGATATAACTTTTTTGTCAAATTTCTGGGTACTTATAAACTACTATGCTACTACCAAAGTTTACAGAATATAAAGTTGCCTCTCTCAGTACAGATTGCGCTTCTCAACTCTCTTCGAAGAAGGCAGGTAGTCGTGCTAATATCTTATTATTCTGTAAACTTTGCTACTACCACTAACTACTGACCGATTTTCCCAAACGGGGTTAGTTTTGGTTAGTTGATTGATTTTAAATAATGACACCTCAAACTATTAATTGAAATTATAAAAATAGTCCACCACTCAAGTGAAAAGAAACAACCTTGCCCTACTTCATGTGAGTTTAGTGAAACTTTTTTTTTCTCGTCAAGACTTCAATACATCTTTCGAGAATTCAAGTGGTCATCTTCAGCCTACTTGGAGGAACTAACCAAAGGGTGACCCGGAATCCGAAAGGATAAACTTATTGTCCCACCCTCAGCAAAAACCGTAAACTGATATGAAGGGAGCGCAAATATCTGAACAGCGGCACTTAAACTCTCCAGAGTTAAAAATGTAAATATAAAAAGAGAATAAGGAGCAACTTAGAGAGATTTAGGGCACGGAAAGATGCAGTAATCTGTGGTGGGAACATGAAATCCCTTCAAGAACATACTTCAAGGGAGTTGGAGATTGTGGGGACATCTATCCTTGAATGTTCAAACTTACAGATCTCTATATGAACCAACACCAACTTGATTGAACTATAAAAATTACTGTGGAGTGAAAACGTTTGAAGAGTACAGGGGAAAAAAGATGATGGTCCATTTTTTGCCCAAATAAGACTAACAGTTATTTCGTATAATATATCGGCTATAGAATACTATCCACCTGTAAGAAAGGGCTAGAAAGATGACAGTACAAAACAGAATTTAAAATGTATACAAGTGGGCAAAAAAGATGAAGAAACCAGAAGAAAGATGACAGTCAATAGGAAATCGCAACATCGTGCTAGTTCGCCGGCTTATGATCGCAAACAATGAATGTGGTTCAGTCTCTAGTTACGTCGAAGTTTATTGGTGTAATTATTGATTATTCTGTTTTACAAGTTTTGGAGTGTATTTGTTGTTGTTGAATAATGGCTGAGCAACAAAAAACAAGGAAAAGTTGCGCTTAAGTATTCATCAAACTGGACAAGACTGCAAATGTTCAAACCTGAAATGTTTCCAAAATCTCACTGCAGCCGATTTAAGCACGCTCGTGTCTAATGATGAACAGTTCCTTTGTCTGGGTGGTTTAATAACGTGCAAACCTGTAACACGCCACCTTCCCAGGAAATTTGAAGATGAAGCTGATTTTCATTCATTTCCGTATAAAGTGAGATTGTTAAAAAACAACGAACTTTGTGAAATCTCAGTATATTATAAAGCGTTTTTAGCTTTACATAGCATAACTGCAAAAAGGCTGCAAACTATACAAAGCGGATTCAAATCAAATCCTTTTAGCGCCATTAGATATGTGAGGAAAGCACTCTTCCAGACCTAACCGACTTTTTAGAGAAGTAACAGATTCGGTCATGGAACACATTAGATGTTTTAAGAGTACAAAGTCACACTATGGCTTGGTTAGAACAACAAAGGTTCTATGTACAAAGAAAAATATCCTGATAAATTAGTTTCTTTTGAAAAATATAGAGAAATATTCAACACCAAGTTTAATATTGCTTTTGGGTGCCGACGATGCGATACCTGTAATACATGTGATGAGTTGAAAGTAAAAATTGACGATATTTAAAAAAAAAATCGAAGTGCAGATGATCACAATGCATTGCAGTTACACACAGAACTGCGAAGCTTGCAAGCTGAAAAAGAAGTACATTTAAAAAGCGCAGACACGTTATATAAACGTAAAAAAGCTGCTAGGCTTGAGGCTCAAAAAGACAAAACCAAGGACGCTAGTGTAATGGATTTACAAAAAAAAATCATCGTCTGCCAAATATTACAACTAATGACTTGTATGTTCAACATACATGTCCTTTCTGTAGCTCTTGTCTATACTTATACTGAAGTTTCAGGAAAAAAGGGTTCTGAAAATGTTTCTTCACTGCTATGGGATTACATTTTTAACCATCTGGATTTTGATGTCAAGAACCTTACAATATTTTGTGATTCACGCTGTGGAGAAAATAAAAATTTCTCGGTGTTTAGAATGTTACATTATATTGTTGTTCATTTTGTGAAAAGACTAAACACAATCAAAACGGTTTTTCCTGTTCGTGGACATTCGTATCTAGAATGCCATATGAATATGGGATTAGTGAAACAGAAGACGTACGTTGAACTGCCTCAGTTTTAAGGAATTCTCCAACAAAACCAAGCCCTTTTAAAGTTTTTTATTTTGAAGATAAGTCTATTTTTAAGAGTTGGACCAAATTTTTGGCGAATATCTGTATGCCCAAGTGTCCTTTTCTTTCAAGACCGGTCAAAGAATTAACTGTAACCGAAAATCACCCTCGTGTGATGACACATAGGGAAAGTTATAATGGTCGAGAACTTGAAAATGTTGTCACAAAAGAAAAAAGGAAGAAGACTCTCGCTACCTGAGAAGTGTTTTTTGCTTCCAACTTTAGCTTATGATGGGCCAATACCTGTATATAAAGCTAAATTTCAAGACCTACAGCATTTAAAAAGATTCTGCTCTCAAAAAAGGCAGAATTTTTTTACAGGAATACCACATTGATAAGATCTTTATTCCCAAGTTTGACAATTTATACATTTTTTCTATATTCTGTCAAAAAGTATTTTAGTTCAAGTTAGCCATAATTATATTCCAAAATTTTATTTTTGTTTACTTACCATGTTCTAGAGTAGTCTTCAAAATTACTCAGAATTAAGGTGTTTAGATTCCCATCTTTTTTCCCCTGTACTCTTCATTTGTTGATGATACATTTACATTATAAAAGTCAAGGGGAATGGCGCGGCAATATCCCAAACATTAGAAGGAAGAATAACTAAGTTGTTGACATTTCGCCAATCATCCTGTTGGCTTCTTCAGAGCTTAAATGAAACTGGATCGCATTCTACTCTGTTGCTGCTTATATATTGTTGAGGAGAGACATATCATGGTTTTGTCAGTATGTTCGATGATTCGAAGATTTGTAAATATAAATACAGTGCTAAATTCATATGGACCTTTTTACCTGGGGGATTTTCCTGTCAAGCTATTTAAACATCTGATTAAAGTACGTTCATCCAACCATCCCAAGTACCATAATATCTAAATATAAAAGATTAATTGACTGGCCGAGAGAAAAATAATTCCACAGACTGGACTGCCACCTAACCCAACTTTTTACAGGTCATGGATGCTTCAGAGCGTATATTAACCTGGGAAATCGACTGCGGAGAAAAGTCAAGTCAAATAAACAAAATCGGTGAACCACTCGGTGTACTATTGGAGAAGGTAATACCAGCTGAAATAATACACGGAATGCTCGACACAAGGGAAAGGTGGGACAAGATACAAGAAGACTAAGAGCTCTAAAGAGCGGACAAACCAATAGATATCAGGACAGAAGGAAAGTCGCCGATTATTCAACTGCCGATGGTGCGAGAGACGTTAGAACCGCTAGAAGATCAGACAAGTTGAGCAGGTTTCAGGAAAAAAGTTGTTTTCAAATAGCGGGATATGGGATGAAGAAATTGTCTCCTCCGACGATGAATCAAACATTCTTGGAGTTCCAAAGAGAATATACAGGATGCACTATTGTCGGGTCAAGATCGAGGAGAAGAGAAACTGAAGAATTCAATATTGGTTGTTAAGGCAAGGTAAGATAAATTTACTAACCTGAATAGATGGTGTTGTGTTTGTGTTAAACAACCATGACTCAAGACTCTGTGAGCAAATATGGAGCACCCTAATTAGTAGATCATTTATACTGAATGAATATGTGTTAGTTAGATCTTTTGCTTGAAGGTGGTAGACACTGATTCAGTAGAAATACTAAAAGGAGGTCCATTCCAACTTCCATTGTCTTTATTTTTTACTTACACAACGTTTCGGACAGTTGAATCACTACCCGTTAGCAAGTGTAAACTAAACTTATATACTAGGCAACGGCGCTCATCCATGACGGAGTCGGGTGAGGCGTGAAGATGTTCAACTAGAACGCCAGCATTGGTGCGCCTTATTAGAGGTTGCCAAATTGTTGGTATATCCACTTTTGGATTGTTGAACATGTTTTCATTGTTTCTAATGAAAACTGCTTCTTTAAATTTGCTTACGTAAAATTTGTAGGTGGTGTTTATAGATTTTATTTGTTTTTTTGTTATAATAAGCACTCCATTGTTACTGTTACTGTATGATTGACAATAATAACATTTACATCTATTACCTAGATCGCAGAGAAGAAAAACTGTGGTCGAGGAAAATTTTAGAGAAATATTTTTTGTCGGAGGTAGGTGATGTGATGAGATTTTTTGCTTTGTCGTGGGATAAGTCGGAAAAATTAAAACAGCTTAAATAACAACTTCGACGCATTTTTTATAAAAAAGATTGATAAGATGACCACACATAAAACATAAAGGGTGATTTAGAGACCCTTTTTATTTAATGCGTTACATAAACATTCACATGAATCATAGCTTACAACTTAACAAAACGAAACCAAATCGGGTGATGCAAATACGAGCAAATAATGTTTAATAAAACGATTAATTTTTCATAAAAGAAAAGATTTTACATGGAATTGGTGTGAAGGACAAATATGTTTCTTTTCTCTCGATTTTCTATTTGAAAATATTTTTGGTTTTCATATTGCACTTTATAGTTTTGATTCTAAATACTTACTTACGAAACGTGATATATATTCGACTCAATTAAACAAATAACTTCATGTATTAAGTACTATTTCAACTTAAATTGAAACTGTCGAAATGCTCGAAGTATGTCTTGAATGAGCGAACTATGTATAGTTAATTACCCGCCCAAAACCGCCGTCTACGTTGCTTAACTAACTCGTTGGAGTTTAATGTTATTTCTAAAACTAGTGCATACGTTATTAATTGTTACATCGTTTAGCAATAATTACAAAGAGAGATACTTTGTGAGTTGGGAACTTTATGCCGCAGCTGTCGCGACGATTTTCCGTAATTGCGATTTGCTTAGAGGCGTTTCTGGACGAACTACATCTACTAAATCTACTTCAACAACTTAAATAAATCCTACGCTATAATTTCATCTACCTACTGTACATACCTGGGCCATAATTACGGCCTAAACAAAAAAATGACATTTATTGAAAAGAAAACACGAGCATCTATCCTCCCATACAATTGAAAAACCAAGTAAGTCGATTTCTTCTTCTTCTAGAAGAGATCTGTCAGTTCCTATTTTTAACTGTTTCTGAATTTCTGAATTCGTATTACTATCTTTTCGACCTAAATTGAAATCGGATTGCCAAACAGGACTTTGGTGAGTCATTCTAATCAGTAAATAGGGTATATGACACCGAATAGCCTTATACAGTGAAGGGAGTGGATATGTTGAGATTATAAGCAATTGTTCACTGAAAATCGCCCAGAGCTTATAAGAATCAAGATGACAGATATATCTTAGATAGGTTGATAGGTAGAAGAAGATCTAATGTCAGATGAAGAAGTAAGAAAGGCTCTTAGCAGAGTGAAAGATGGGCAAAAAATGGACAAAACTTACTATTCTAACTGCTCTCAATTGTTTCTCATTTGTTGTGAGAGGCAAACAAATACCTCAGAATTGATGAAAACGGCCCATATATCGAATTTACTCAAATTAACAAAGTAACAAAGTTCCCTTCGAGACTGTATTCAAAAACCTTCAAAAAACGAATAGAACAACAAATTTATGACTTAAATGAACCAGTGTAGTTTTTGTTTAAAGGAAATTCTAAGGCAAATTTTTTGGACACAGGTACCCATTTCAGAAATATCTTGGCAAAAGTTTTGCTAATAAGGAATCGTTGAATCAGGATTGATCAACTGATCAACTTTGGCCAAAAAGTTGTTGCCTGTTAAGGTTTAATAATATAGAATGGAATTCCTTATAAATTAAAAGAAAGTAAAAAAAAATTAATGCTGAAAACAACACCCAGTATATTAGTATTTATTTCTGTAGTCGCAATGTTTTCTTAAGATAAATGAACTGCGCAGGACTTAGTGGCGTGTTGTTGAAAAGCAAAAAAAATGTATGTTTTTTTCTGGATTGTATTCAATACTCCAAACGATATTTAAATTTAAAATAACCAAAAAATGTTGTTTGTTTTTTACATATTACCACAGTATATCGAATTATGATACTATAATATACCGGGCGTCAATGAAATTACTACCCAAGCGATAACTCCGGAAGTGATATAAACTTTCTTGTTTTAAATAAAACACACTTTATATTTCTTCATTTCTGTATTTTACCGACAAATCCAAGTAGAAAATGTTCTTTTTTCGACATTTCTAATCATTTTGGAGAAAATATCGTTCAAAAATATCAATGTGTCATATTTCTGTAATCAATCTAAATAACAAGATACCTATTTTAACCACAAACTTGGCAGATGGAGTATTTTTTTATAGCAAACTATTTGATAAAAGATTAAAAAAACACTTTCGCTTTTATCTGGATTTTGTAGTAGTTTCCTTTAAAAAAATTTAATGGAAATTCAGTAAAATTCCTACTTTTATTATTCTGTGGTCGTCATTATATATAATATATGCCAACTTAAGGTTACCACTTCAAAAAGTTTATTAAGTAACATGAATTTTTTTTGGGTGGGTATTAAAATTTCTTGCGTTTCTTTTTTATAACACTTGACTAAGAGCAAAAAGATTGTCCGTACAGGATCTGCCAGTGCGAGAGCCATTTTATCCATGCATTTCTGTCAACTTCTTTTCTATTCTTTTTTTGGAGAATTTTACCGTACAACCCACTTAGAGAACTGATTACTTTGTATATTGACTTTTATAGATTTTCTTTTAAATGATGTAAGTTCCATTCACTGTCGGCTACTAATATCTCTGGTTCGTTTTTATCTCTCGTTTCTGGTAAGAGATTAGCGTAGTAGCAGTAGCGTAGTATACAGATTGATTTGATATTTGATGTTTAAATTAAATTTCAAATACTTAATATATTGTTCATAAATAAGTCAACAAGTGAAAAAAACAAAACAGTTATTCGACACACAATATGGATTCCTGCGTCGGTTATTGTTGAATCGAAGTTGATGTTGAGAGCTTAATTCTCTCTAGCAGGAGGAATCCAGAAGTTTTGTAAATAGTATTATAGTAGCTTGTGCAAGTTTCTTTGAAAAAAAAAAAATTAAAGTTATTCGAAAATTTCTTCAACATGATTTTGATCCTAATTTTTGGGAAATTGTTTTTTTCTTCTTACTTGGTTTTTAAATAATATGGAGTGACTGCCATGAGAAAATGAAGCGACTACACAGCAGATATTAAAATAAAGTGTGTGGTGATGTGTGCTGTGGTGATCACTCGTGTCTCAAAAGGCCGTGACATAATCTCATTTTCAGCATCAGTGTTTATCAGTCAATTACTAAACCATCTAATTATTTTTATATAAATTTATATAATTTGTTATTAATACTGAAACTGAGATTTAAAGCGACAACATAAAACCGACTTACTTGAGTTACCGGGGATGTCTGTGTCATGGAAAACAAACAAAAAATAAATAAAAAATAAATAAACAAACTGCCAAGGGTAGTGTGGTATGTTTCGAATTCGACCCTAATGTAAAACTCAAAAAGGAAATTGTGTCTGATGTGAGTTACGTGGTGAGAATAGTTGATTTTTTTCTAAATACACGCTACGATTCACATAATACGTTGGTTGACTGCAGATTTTTTTTCCCATCTGAAAATTATAATAGATAGCAAGAAAAAATATCTCGAAACCTACGGGGGTTGCGAAAAATTTTAAATACAAAAGTTGTTTCAATTAAAATCACCTTTTTTTTTTCTAATCGTCACTTTTTATATACAGGGTGGTAAAATAAAATATTTTTTTTTGAAATAGAACACCCTACATTTTATTGCATTGTTGGATAGTCCTTTCAAATACAAATTCAACGATATATATGCGTGTGTACCGTTTCGAACTTATTAGCGATCTTCTTTAGAATTCGGGTTATGTTTAAACCATCATTGTTGGGCTGCTTATTAACTTTTTAAACTTTTTTCCGTCTATTATTTTTATTATTGCTTTTTTTAATTTTTGCTTTTTATTAGGCAATGATTAAATTTAATATATTTTCTTAAAATAGCACGTTTCGCAAAATGATACTTTTCTAAATTTTCTTAAATGACACATCCTGTAAATTAACGGATTTTCGAATATTTAATAATAATAATTTGGCTTAATTCCCAGTTTCATATCTTAATAATTTAAATCTTGTACCCAGTTCTTACTTTTATCTATGTTATATAATTAAAATTATCATTCGAAAATCCAATAATTTATACAGGGTGTCTCATTTAAGAAAATTGAGGAAAGTATCATTTTGGGAAACGTGGTAACACCGCGCGTATTTTAAGAAAATATTTTAAAAGAAAAAAAAGAATTAAAAAAAAAGCATTATTTTCGTAAAAATAACGGATGGAAAAAAGTTTAAATAGTTAATAAGCAATCCAACAATGATGGTTTAAACATACCCTGAATTCTGAAGATGATCGCCAAACGGTGCCATACTCATATATATCATTGAATTTTTGTTTCAAAGGACTATATAAAAATGCAATAAAATGTAGGTTGCTCCATTTAAAAAAATGTAACTTTGTTTTACCACCCTGTATATAAAAAAGTGACTATTAGAAAAATAAAAGAAAATAAAAAACTTTTGTATTTAATTTTTTTTTTGCAACCCCCCTAGGTTTCGAGAGAAGGGTCACCATGTACGTATATTTTCTAGATGGGTTTTAGACTCAACTAGATACACTTACAGAGTGCGGTTACGCCTCTTTGGGACCTTGAAAGACTGGAAATATCTTCTTTGACTGTTTTTCTAATGAATTTTTTATACGAAAAATGATTTCCCTTTACAGTGTGTCCCATTTTTGATGGTTTTACGGCTTACCTAGGTGATATTGAGTAATTTGTATTTCTCGCACCCTATCTAAAGATGACAACTGATCTGTATTGTTTGTTTTTTACGTATTCTTGTGGTTGCATGCATATTGGGGTCTGTACAATTAAGGATTCAACACTCAAAATTTGTAAAGTAATTTAAGACGCTGTTATTGCGCAGTAAGATTATATCTTGGTCTGAGTACGTTAAATGCACTCTGTATATTTTTTGTTTGCTGCAAAAAAGCAAGAGATACTGAAGCCAAATCTCGTGTTTTCATTTTATATAACGACGTGGTAATCACTGCAAAAATATCAGTACTGTACAATCCTGCTCATCAGACCAAATTACTACGTCTTTATATTTCTTTTTATTTTCCTTTCTGTAATTCAGAAGCCACAGTTTTTTGCTCTAGATGCAAGATATCGTTTATCGTGTTACAGTTAAAATGAATTATTTAAGTTAAAAAAAACACAAATTTAGTTTATATGTCAAAACTACCCCACTAGACTACCCCGTTGGATTTTATGTTAAAAACCCGATTCAGATCAGGTTTCAACTGCAAAGGGCATTTAAAAAACAGACATTTTCAAAATTATCCTTTATCTATCTATCTATTTCCGTTTGTGCGACTTTTTATTTCATGAAAAAGTAGCTTTGCGTGACGTAAAGGTCAACACGCTAGCTTTATTAATCGTCGTAAAACCATAAAAAAATGGGACACACTGTACAATAGGAGGACAACTTAGAAATATCTACGAAGTTATTGCTATTACAATTAGCGTTATTGTGTGCCTAGTATGCAGTATTTATTGTTTAACAATCAAATCTCGAATTGTTTTTTGATATTTCGAATGGGGCAGGTTGTAATAAACAAACGTGAGCCAGTGTAATTTGCACAAACGATAAATATGCCTAAAAACGTATACCCACAAATTATTTTAAATTGTCAATAAGTCCATACACAGTCCAGATTTGCTAGCTTTAACGCAGAATGTTAAGTTATGTGGATCTAAAGGGGCTGAAATAGTAATGGATAAAATAATTTAATACATAAATAAGATTTAAATACTCGCTAAACCACGGATAAATCACTATAAATCACAGTTAATCAGTGTTGTAACAAAAATGGTTGACCAGAATACTGCTTTATAGCTACTTAAACCAAAACTGAAATCTTATTACTAATATTTTGAAAGCCTACACCTGATGATTTTTGTAATTTAAATCGTTTTGCTGCAAAGGTACTTACTGTTATCATTTTTCTCTTCTACGTAAAGTTGGAGAGAACCTCTAAGCGTAGGCAGTGAAACGGTCTCAGGTCTCAATTTTCCTGGGTATACTTCGCCGTACCCGGTGTAGTTATTGGAGAAGGACGTTTTGGTCATCAACTTAATGGCTTCCATCGTAAACACTTCGCCCAAGATGAGGTGTTGTTGCAATGTTCTCGTCGCCTTAAAATGACAATGATTATCCTGCACGGTAAAAAGTGCTGTTTATTTTACGTGATAAGCGTAGTCCCTCATGAACAGTTTCTTGATAGCTGAAGGCATGACCACTTGGGCCTCTTTCCACGCCCTATTACTTGGGACGAAATATGTGAATTTCTTGTTTAGATCTCCCAACTGGTTGTTGAATCCCTCCATTGCACCAAGTTTATAAGAGTCGCTGCAAGATAAATAAGTCAGTCAATTAGTTGGTCAGATTGATTGACAAATCAGTTACGGCATAAAATTGATCGGTTTGAACTGAACAGGTAGAGTTTGTAAAAAACTGCGCACACTTTTAGGTCCTCTATTGGTTTCTTTTTTCGTCCGGTCTCTCCAATGTATTCTTTGCATATGCATGGAATTGTGTAAACTCCTGGCATCTCAAATGAAATTTTGTCTTTGACGGACTGAAGATGTTGAGAGATTTTTGGACAAGTGGTAAATCTGGTTTTGACGTTATCCTTCTTTAGAAGAAGAAGAACATCACTGACCACTTATCAAAAGTTCTAAAGAAGTATAATGTAATATAATCTTCGGTCCGTCGAAGACAAAATTCCATGTGAGCTGCTAGGAGTTTACACCATTCAACTAGGCTCAAAGAACACGAAGGAGCCTTACGACTAAGACAAATAAACTCATCAGCTGTTGCCGAACACACTCATGAAACCGGACATAAAATTTTATTCGATAAAACTAAAATTCTTGTATGTAATCAGTTCTTAGACAAAAGAAAAATCTGAGAGTCTATAGAAATCTATAAACAACCTAACAATCTTAACCGCGACTCAGGTCTCTACCTGTCACCAATTTGGGAATCAGTCATCCGAGACGGTATTCATGCCCCTCATTTAGCTCCGCCCCCTCAAACAATATATAAGCAGGTACAGATTAAAATGAGAGCCAGTTTCAGTCAATCCCTGAAGAAGCCAACAGGATGATTGGCGAAACGTCAGCAATTTCGACGCAGTAGGAATCCATAAGTTTTGTAAAAAGCGTTATAAGAAAAGTTTATAGCAGATGATTTTTTTTGTATTATTTCAATTGTTACTCAATTACAATAAAATTACAGGGTGGTTAAATAAAGATACACTTTTTAAAAATGAAACATCAGATATTTCATTACATTTTGAAATAAGGGATAGTTACTTTGTTTACTTAAAGTTTCTAAGAATTTAAAACTAGACTTATTATTCACCTATTTGACTGTAAATAAAAGCCTCAAAGGATTTTACTACAACTTTACCACAAATTTAAAACTTTCACGGTTACAGGGTACTGATTCATTTATCCACTATTTCTTCAACTCCAAACAGTACTTAGTATATGCAGTATACGAGGGGGTACCCATAAAAACCGGAATTGAATTGCCGCGAGCAGAGCTTGTATAGTACACCTTTCGGCCGCTAGGTTGTGGATTGCAAGTTCAACCCCACCTTCGTTTTAAATTTAGTTTGTTTTGTTCACTTGCAGTGCCATTTTTTGTTAACGCTGTTTTTTGTTATTTCGTTTTTTTCGATGGCAAGTTTAAAAGAACAACGTGCAGCTGTGAAATTTTGTTTTCTGCTCGGTAAAAGTGCTGCTGAAACTGTTTCAATGTTAAAAACAGCTTTTAAAGACGAAAAACTGAAGTGTACCAGTGGTTTGTTCTCTTCAAAAATGGCGAGTTAATTGATGACCGACCTCGTTCTGGACGTCCATCAACTGCTCGAATCGACGAAAATATTGAAAAGATTCGAGAGTTTGTGCTCACAGACCGTCGACAGACAATTGAACAATTATCAAAGATTAGTGGGTTGTCTTGGAGCACGGTTCAGCGAATTTTAACCGAAAATTTGGGAATGAAAAGAGTTGCTGCCAAGTTTGTTCCTCGTGTTCTGACTGACATGCAAAAAGAACATCGAGTTCAAAACATGTCGTGCTTTGAATCAATAGCTTGAAACGGATCCAGATTTTCTTTCAAAGATGACGAGTCATGGTGCTATGGTTACGATCCAGAAACGAAGCAACAGTCCAGCCAATGGAAGACGTCACTGTCTCCCCGTCTAAAAAAATGTCGTCAGGTCAAATCAAACATCAAAACGATGCTGATTTGCTTTTTCAACATCAACGGCGCAGTTCATCCAGAGTTCTATCCACCAGGTGAGACCGTTAATCAAGCTTTTTATCTGGAAGGGGACTGGTTCTTTCACCACGATTATGCACCTGCACACACAGCCATTTCTGTTGGATGAGCTGTCGGCTATAGCCAAAGATGAATATAAAAAATGTTTCGAACAGCGGAAGCGTCGCTGGTACAAATGTATTAGTTGTAATGGAAAGTATTTTGAAGGGGATAAGGTTTTCTGTGATTTTCAAAACAATATATAGTTTATAAAAAATGATTCCGGTTTTTTTTGGGTACCCTCTCGTATAGCTGATTTATTGTGTTTTCTCTTTGAACGGCGAATGATTTTATATATAAAATATGATGAAATATGTTGAAGGTCATCTAATTAATACTAAAATGAGTGAGAACACACAATACAAATCACCCATATACAAAATCTTCGGGATTCAGGTTATGTTGGAAAGGTTTTTGTTACATTGCATATTCACATTAAATAAAATTGAAATATTTTGATGCTTCTCTCAATTTTTGTACATAAAATGCCCAGTATATTTTTGCATTTCCTGATGGCGCTTTAACAGGTGAATTCCACAATATATGTGAACCATTGCCGTCCGATGCACCGTTTCGAATTTATTGATATTGGATTCTTCTGAAAATTTTGGTTAGTTCCATAAGTGGCCATGCTCTATCTCTCTAAATTATTTTTAACGCTGCGATGTTACCGCTTTTTCGAAAAAGTAGCATCAACATTGAAATTTTAAATAGGAGTGTATATTATTGCATTCTCCGATCCGGCAAACTTTATGATTGTTTTCGTTTCCCACCAAAACATAGCTTTAATAAAATTTGTATTACTACGAAACTGGAGACACTGAACAGTTAGTTCTATATTATACAGAGTTGGTCAAAACTAATGATGTGCCTACCACATATACAAATGGTGAAAAGTGCTTTTCTAGAATCTAACACCCATATCACATACACATATCCTCAGAGCAAACTAAATTCCCTTTCGAACGATGTATCATGTTCCCATACCTAAATTGTTTTGCTTCTGGAACAAAAGCAAAGAAATAGGACTTCAAAGGAAATTTAGTTTAAATGTGTTGTGTTTGTTAAAGATAATAAAGCAAGTTTTTTAATTTACGATGAACCATCGTATCAAATATTAAGAACGGTGGTAAATTATTTTCTCGAGAATCTTAGCCTTCAGGAACTTCGCACCTCTTAGTGCGAACTAGGTGGAGCCTCGGCTGAGCTGGCACTGAAGAGGTGTCACAAGAGTTATACGAATTATTTTGGGGTCATGGGATTGGCCATCCAGATCGCTCGACCTGACGCCATTAGATTTTTACCAATGGTGTAAGTTAAAGTTACGTGTCTATTTGACACCGGTGCAGAGCAGAAGGAATGATTCAACAAATATATCCATCGGAGATAAAGAAGGCTACTATCATCAGTCTACTTCAACAAATTTTAAAGTGTTTAGAATGCAATGGTGCACAATTCGAACACGTAATGTAAAAATTTGATTCATTTTTCTAATATTTTGTTAGTATAAATAGTTTTGAAAATGTTTCTCGCAAAATAGTTTGTAAAGCTTTTCTTCATTGTGGAAAATTTTCTTTTGTTCATGTGTTGTAAATAAGGATTCGTTTCATTAAATTTTCTGGATGTTCTGTCTATAATGTGGTTGCATTGTCGAGGCACAATAAACATATTCATTAAAACAGCATTAGAGTATTGGTTTCCTTCCATTTTGAACCGATTTTATTATCAAAATTTTGCACCATGAATACATCTTTATTGAACTGTCAAACGGAATATAAATTATTCAACATTAACATTAACCTAATGCACCTAATGTCCATATAAAAGATGAATTAAGCCAAAGTAATCCAGTTTTCAGAGGAACTTGCTTTTATTTCAGAAACCAAACGGCTTAGGTGTGAGAAGATAATTATGTTTTGTTTAAAAAATAAAGAAAAAAAAATTTTCGTCGAAAACCACTAAAGGAGAGGAGCGTATTATGTAAAAAGAAAGTATTATATATAGAGATAGAGATAGAACTTATGGAACTAACCGACTTTTCAGATCAATCCAACGTACTGATCATCGTAAACGTCTAAGGCACCATCAACCATCAACACCCTATATAGCTGACCCAGTTTTTCCTTGCTATCTGATTGGTTTCGGCTAACTCAGTGACCTCTTTTCTTTGGGTCCTAATAAAGCGCCAAATTTGCTTTTATGGTCCTCCATTCGCTTTGATAAGATTTCCCAAATAATTTTTTTTTGTTTGTCTTACTAGCAGTGTTCATAGTATTCTGTAGGTTCGATACGTTTTTTTTCTTTACATTGTTTTATGATTTCTGAACGGGTTCTGGTGTTTTTATTTTTTTTTCAATGTTAGCTTTTCATTTTCTCCCTTTAAGTATTTATACCCATCCTCCCCTATTTATTTGAATTTTCTCTTTCCCTTTCTTTCGTATATATGCTTACTCTATGTTTTATTTTGATACCCGTGTTATTAGTGATATTGTTACTTGTGTTATTTTTGCAAATAGCAAGTTGTGATCGCTTCCTACGTCTGGATAGTAAACTATTCTGAAGTCTGTATCTGTTATCTGTTAGCAACGATATAGTCAATTGCGGACAGCTCTAATAAATAAGAGATCAGAATGGTTTGAGCAAGCTAAAAGCTGGAACATTCCAATATCAGAACTGCTAGTGAAAGCTAAAGAGATGGCAACAAATTTGATTTATCAAAATTTCAGTGCCTCGGACGGGTGGATTCAAAAGTGGCGCAAGAGACATAATAAAGTGGTTAATACTGGCGCTTCGAACTTCCGTTGCCTAAAACTTTTTTAACACGATATTTCGGCTAGAAAATTTCAATAGCGGTTATCAAGTTGATGTATATGTTTACTACACTACGCACCACACAATGTGTACAACGTAGATAAGAATAGACTGTTTTTTCCGCTCGTTAACGGACAAAACTCTTAATAAATTATGTAAAGGCAGAATAATCATTTTATTTTGCGATAATGTGGCCGGTGATGAAC